CGCTGTCTTGCTCTGGCTTTCTTTTGTGTTCGTTTGCCCATGCCACTGACGTCCGTGCCAAGGTCCACCATGTCTGCTTGCTGTTTGCCTGGGAGACCGCGCTGCTGGAGCTTGCGCCAGATGCGCCTTCGCAACTTAGGGTTCGACGCCGCGAGCACCGTTTTCGGGGAGATCGTTAGGTTCCGCTGAGCAGCCTGCTGGATGAACTCGTCTGCCAACTCTAGCATCTGCTTCTCAACCATCTCCTCTGTGCCTTCCACGCGTCCAACCGTGTCGTCCACGTACGACCACGAGCCCGCTGCCTGCACTCTCTTCTGCGCTGCCTCCAAGAAGGGGAAGAGGTAGACTTTGGCGAACCTGGTGCCCTGTGCCGAGCCAGCGACGATTGAGCACGTCGGGTCGATCCTGGGGCCTATCCACTCCGTGTGCTTGAGGTGCCGTGGCCCCAAGAACGCTTCCACTTCCATTGCCATAGCTGTCGGTGAGAAATCCAGCTTGATCCCCGTGTCGATCAGCCATCCGAGATCCAATGAATCATAAAACTGCTCCATATCGGCGAACAACTCCGCGTGTGCAATTCCCATTGTGTGCCCCGTTTCGTCGAGCGTGGCTCTGAGTAATGCTGCTCGTAGGGCCGATGATCCTCGTAACGTCCTGTCCCAGTGATCCTCCAGCTGCTGCGTCCACGATTCTACCACCCCAGACCGCATCCGTGACCATATACGTATTGTCATAGGTAACAGCCCCAGAACTCTATCACCTCCAGCTGGTTTGCCCGCAGTCGCTCCAATGGTGCCGAGGACTTGTGGGGGGCACATGAGAAAGCTCCCGGCGTCTGCGATGATATCGAGGAAATATGTCTTCGCTTGGTCTGGGAGTCGCTCGTTATCTAACGGCCCAATTGCGTCGATCCCTCTTGCCTTCTTCACTCCCATGCGTCGTGTCGCCGCGTTGAGGTCCTGGATCGTAAGTTGCGGTAGTTCCTCCAACCCAGCCTGCTGTCGGCAACGGTGGAGAGCTTCTGCAAGTGCTGCTTGTCTGTGCGATGTGGCGGTCCACTTCTTGGCCCAAGTGTCGCTCTTGTGATTCATGATGAGGATGGGGTCCGCCACTAGCTTGCCTGAGATCATCTCCTCGAGCCGTGGTTGTTGGTTGTCTTTTGTCCATCGATGTAATGCGCCTGGGGTCTTCTTCCACATATCCTGTGCCCACTTGAGGAAGCCCTTGGTGCCGTCAGCCATTGCACGCCTCGCTGCTTGCCCTGCCAATCTCTCTGTGATCTCTATCACGTCTTCTCGCTCCTGTCGTACTGGACTGAAGATGTCGTGCGCCTGCTGCTGCCGCTGGTTGGGGAGCTCCACGTCTTTGTGCTTGCTGGCCCCGTGCACCTGCTGTATACGCTGCCGAAAATCTTGCCCTCTCTGCTGCAACTGCTGTGGATCCCTGTTGTTCTTGACCAGGCCACTGATTGCGACCGCTTGAGTATGTGTGATAGCCCACCAATCTGCTTCAGGGTTGTACAAACGAGGCCTGCCTGGTGGTGCCGTGCTTTTCTTCCATTTGATGCCAAAGCCCTGCGCCCTGCCACGATAACTATCTCGTTGATGCACTGGTACTTCTGAATGCTGTAGTATGGCCTCCTCTAATGTCGTGATCCACCTGCCGTAGCTGTTCGCCAAATACTGCGCCAGTAGAGGACGATCGCGATAGACTTGCGGTCGCCATCGTTCCCATCGAAGCTGTATGTCTGGTGGGACCGCCGTCGTGGGAGGCATCTGAGAGGGCGTGGGGGGCGCTGGGGCGTGGTGCCTCTGAGAGCCCCCGCTGGGGGCAATGTCCGAGGTCCCGAGACTTGGGCCAGCTCCCTGCCCCAGCTCCCTGCTTCCGCCAGTAGATTCGTGGCGCAGGTGAGCTGGGCTAGGCGAGCTGTTTGAGGGCCGGGACTCCTGGCCAGGAGACTCCTGGGGCCTGGGATCCAGCGAGGTATCGTGGCGACGAGTCGGATCGGCGTGAGGCCTGTAGAGGATACCAGAAAATCCCCATTTGGCGTGCTCCCAGGTGTCGTCGCTGATGTTGAAGAGGGTCGTTGAAATAGCCGCAGTTCGCGTCTCTGATGTCGGGGATGTGTCCAGAACCTCTGCCTCTGGGTCCTGCTCAAGTAGATCGAGTCCGTGTCGTAATTCTGGGGCCAGAGCCTCTCGTCGCTGTTGTAGGCGCTGTAGCTGCTTGCTCCGCTTGCTGTTGATGTCCTTCTGCGTCTTCGGCCTCGGCTCGGATGGTCAACTTTTTGGGGTGTCCAACGTGCGGTGCCACCACCGCTGCTTCTTTCCATCCATTCGTATCCGTAGCCCACAATGCGTGGCCCACGGTACCGCGAGCTCCTTGGTGATGGCGAGGCCGTCCTTGAACCCTGCCGAGACCACTCTATAATCATATAACGAACCTGTGCCTTTATCGCAAGTCACCCCCTCTGGCCCCGTGGCAATCTCTCCTCGCATCTGCTCTATCCAACCTGAGGCAAGTAGTTCGCTGGGAACGCAATTCCAATCTGCAGGCACAAGCCATGGGTCTTTCTGCAATCTTACAAAAGCTGTGAGGACTGCCATGATTTTTCGATTCCTGCCCGTGAAGTTCAGACTCGGCTGCAAGTACGCCGCGATGAGGATGAAATTACCGATGCTGAGGTGGAGTACCATTGGGGAGAAACCCACAAAGGTCGTGTCGCACTGCTTGTCCTGCTTGCCCTTCCAGTGCTCCAACGAGGTGGCCTGGATATGCGTGCGCGTGGCGACCATCTCCCCAGCCGACAGACCTTTGTGCGACTTGCCACTGGGCACCGCGGGGGTGATCGCTGCCTTCTAACCTTCCTTCTGCAAGAACGTCTTCATACCGAGCACATCCGCAGGCCCTTTGTGGGTCCCCACGAACGCGATGAAATCGAAATGCTTGCTGTTGGGACCCTCTATGTAGTTCTGCACCTGCGGGCCCCACTCCGTGATGTTGCCGAAGAGAACCTGGAACAGGTCGCTCTGCTGCTGGTCGGACGGAGGCTCGCTAAACCTGCGACTGGCCAGCACCAGTAGCAGCATTATCACCTTTATCATCTGCTTCGCGAGCCTTGCGCCTCTCTGCGCGGGCCTGCTCCAAGGCCGCTTGATTGGCCTCTCGGATCTTCTGCTTCTCCTCCTCAGGGTTGACGCCGCCCGTTCGACTGCTGCCAGGTGCCGTCGCTGCCGCCGAAGCCGCCGCCGCATCCGCAGCAGGGGGCTCCTCGTCGACTGCCTCCACCTTCGTGCCGTCCCCGCCTGCTGCCAGTAGCTTCCGCTTCTTTTTGGGGGCTGCCAACGCCTTCTTAGCCTTCTCATGAATCTCTTCGGTGTACTTGAACTTCGCCTGTAGCGTGCCGAGCTGTTCCTGCTGGAACTGCTCGAGCTCTCCTTTTCACTGCATGATGCGGTCCATCTCGTCCTTGGGAATGTCGCACTCCTCGAGGCCTTCGAAGAGCGTGCCGTCGTACTCGAACTTGACCTTGAGGGTACCGCTGCCGATCTTCTCCTCTGGCTTGACCACGAGGATGCCCGATTCTTGGTTGGCCTGTTGGAGGGCCAAGAGATGCCGTTGTTGCGCCTCGACTCGCTGCTGCACCAACTTCTCCATGTAGTCGTTCTGGTCGTCCAAGTACAGCTGCGCGTCCGTGAGCTTCTTCCTCTCCTTCCCGGTGCGATGATCGAGATCCTTGAGCGCACGATTGGCATCGCCCAGGAGCTGCGCACCCGTACGCTGCTTGGGCGGTGCTGGGGCTGGCTTGGCGTTCTCCTCCTCCTCCTGGGCCTTGCAACGCAGAGTGTCCAAGGCGGCCGCGATGGTGGGGTCGGACTGGTCGCCGACGCCCTGGTGTGCTGCCAAGCTCGCGATGAGGGAGGCCGTGGTGAGCGGGTCGGGTTGCCCGACGTCGTACATCTGCTCCTCCGTGTTGTCCCAGCCTGCCGTGTCGCCGTTGTGGGTGGAACGTCTCCACGGTGCCCACTTCTTCCATGGCCGTCCCGAGTTTGACCAACCCGCATAATGCTTGCCATTCTGAGCCCATACTCCTGGCGGTGGTGGTGGGGCACCGATGGTGGGGAGGAGCTTTGCCTTGCACTTGAAGCACTCGGTCTTACCGCTCCAGTTCCACTTATATCCACACGCTTTGCATCCAATATACCCCGCTGCTTTCCCACTGCCGTATCCCATGCCGCGGCGCGCTGGGAAACTTGAGTGCGGTCGCGCGGCGGGCGCGCGGACGTGCACACCTGCGGGCAGCAAGTGGCACGCAGAGGCCTGGGGCGGACCAGGCTCTGCAAAACAATCGGGGTATGCCGCGGACTAGCGGTATCCAGTTCTGCCAATGCGGGCTCAGCCCGCGGCAGCATCAGCCTTGAGCCAAACTGGCTACGGAGGAGGAGGGGTAGGAGACGCAGGAGGAGGAGTAGGAGTAGGAGTAAGAGTAGGAGTAGGTGTAGAAGTAGGAGTAGGAGTAGGAGGAGGAGAAGGAGGAGGAAGAGGAGGAGGAGGAGGAGGAGGAGGAG